ACGATCTGTGAAAAAAAATCATTCAACTATGAAGAGATAGCATTGTGATGTCAGATAAAAGACTTACTAATAATTTCACAGAGGGAAGCTTAAATATCAGACTCTTTAATGCCCAAGACGACCTAAACTGATCACAGTTTTTATTAAGGAACCTTAGCTCAAAAAAAGAATATTATACATATGAACGAAAAATGTCCTATCTTCGTCATTCTTAATGACCGTGTTTATTACCAAGGCTAATCAATTCCCCTAAACTTTTTGATTAGCTCTATACATGTGTCGCATGGATGTTTTATGGGTTTTATTGGCCTCATAGATGAGTAAACGCGGAGATGACCCCACCTATTCCAACTAAGTATATATATGTATATATTTAGAAAAAAAACACTAATAGACATTGATAACATTTATTTAAGGCATCATTCTAATTTAGCAATTAGAATGAGGCATATCTGGATGAATCACAGAGATATCGTAATGATGGGTGAGTGATATAGTGGAATACCTTAAAGCAATGTCTTATTGACTCCATTAGTACCCCAAAATTTAAAAGTAGTGGCATAGAATTTAAGTGGATGCAAGGATATTTATTTAGCGATCAGCTAATGATAAACTCAAAAGTTATTTCGGAGCCATCCCAATTACAAACGCCATTGGATCCGACTACTTCCCAAGTGATGGATGAAACTACTCATTTAAATACACCAAATAATAATAAAGGTAGAATGACATACCTGTTTCTTTCTGAGTTCCGCAGAGATTAAGCTCGCGGCAGTGACAGCTGCAGCAACAGCAGCAGCTGATCCAGAGGGAGCGTTGGCAGTGGCTGAGGGAAGACCTGAATTTGTAGATCCGGTCATTTGCAGGCTAGTTGGTCTGGCATGTGTACCGCTTGCATTGAGACCTAACATAAGCTGACCGGAGCCTGTCGTTGCACCAACCGAATGACCAGCTAACATTCCACTGGAGAGAGTTGATGCTGCTCCGACATGAACAGAACTTGATACCGGCAAATGCTGAGAGAAATGACTCTGGCCAGAGTGATGCTGTTGCTGCTGTTGCGATTGCTGCTGTTGGTGATGAAGTAGCTTACGCGACCTTGAACCTGAATTTCCAGGATGATTGTTGATATTGTTGCTGCCTGTATTCATACTGAAGTGGCGACTAGATGGACCGGAATTGACATTAGACGGGTTGACTGAAGGCATACAATTTCCGAATGCTCCAGAAATTGAATTAGTGAGCATAACCTGTGTAAAAAGATCATATGGTCAATGAAAACTTAAAGCATAGTCAATAACCCATGAATTAGTTTTAGGATACAACTTCAGCCTAATAACAGTCTTTAAGAAGAGAATTGAAAGCAAAGAAGGCGAAGTTTATTACCGGAGTAGCCGAACTAGCTGGAGGAGGTTGCCCGAGTAATGAAGTACCCGAACTACCGCCAGAAGAAACTTGGGCACCAACTGTAACATTTCCACTTGTTCCCGCTCCGCCACCACCAGCAACACTTCCGCCATTGATGCCAACACCCAACCCAACCGGGTGCATAGAATTGGATGAAGATGGTCCATGTAAAGTCAAGTGCGAGCCCTGGCAAGCAGAAGAGCTGTTGCTAGGTCCGGAGATATGAGAATGCTGCTGCAGAGGTAACTTGATGGCGCCTGGGAGAGAAGAGAAGTTGAGTGCAGATCGTACCTAATAAAAAAATAAGCATGGGTATGAGGCAAGCTTCTAAATCCAGGTGGCATATGCTTTTAAGAATTTACATCTATATTTGTGGTATATTAAAATTTTTTAATTGTCAACGATTTCTTCATTTAAAAAAATGCGGAGATGATATCTACGAAAGCCTTGATCTCAATTTCATGCCATTGGGCTAGTAGATAATTGTAAAAATCTGGCTGCAATGGCATCATCATAGGAGCCCGACAAATCTGTCATTTGAAATAGTAAAAGCGATAAATCTTTAAAAGGCTGCTGGATTTCTACCCCCC